AATTATCTAAAATCTTAACTCCCTGAAGGACCAGTATTGTCATTTGATTCATAAATCTCCAGGTTCTGCCATGAAATGCATGCATTCTTTACAAAAATGAGGCAGTCTTCCATACCCACCCTACTCACCTACCATGCCATCAGCACAGATATTCTGAGATGTCATCAGCCCCCCCCCAGTCTTCTACTGTGGGACATCTAAGTTACCCCATTAGTTCAAGTTTTTCACACTGTGTATAGTGCTGCATTGAAATCTTCCTCTGCACTTCCATTCTGAGACTTGCCCCATTATTTTAAGATTCATTCCCAATAGGAAGCTACTGGGTCCACAGGATCTCTCCCTCTCTCTCGCTCTCTCTCTCTCTCTCTCTCTCTCTCTCTCTCTCTCTCTCCCCTGCAACCCTCTCCCTCTCTCCTTTTCTCCTCCCTCTGTCTAACTCCCTAGCAGAGAAGAGCACAGATGACTAGGATTTGGAGCTGGCTGTGAATGGGAACTGCTCTACTCACATGTTCCTTTCCCTAATCTGCAAACTGGGGCACTCTGGCTTCTCCCTGCAACATAGATATGTACCGAGGGCCACAACCCTGAAGGACTTGGATTGGCAGTCTTCTTTGTTACTGACTTAAAGTGGAACAGCTCAGAAGCCAGTTGATTGGGGTTGACTGACCCAGTCATGCAGCAGACGCTCCCTTCGAGGAATGCACTAGTGTGCCCTCTGTGTATATTGAGAGACAGGATGCAAGGGTATGAGCCACTATGGTCATCAAATAGAGGTCACCACCACCCCAGGAAGCCTCTTTTCACATCATCTGAAATCTGGCAGAGACTTCTTGGTCCTTTCCATAGCATGTAGTACAACTAGCAATGACTTCCCCTCTAAAATACCCTATCCCCTGAACTCTACAACCTCAGTGCTTCTGTTTCCTTCTGCTCTCCAGCAGCCCCATCTTGTCCCCCTGCCAGGTCCCCTGACGCATTGTGTCCCACAGGCTGGGCCTCAGGGAACCTATTGCCTCACTCCACATCCTCTCCCAGGAGCATGGCTCTAGCTGCAAAAAAGCCCCCAGAGGAGATGCAACCCTGCAGATATGTGACTTCAGGACTGTGACTCTGAGAACTCTAAGACAGAAAATCTGTGTTGCTATTGTATTGTGTCATGTCATGTCATGCTCATGTGTTGTCACTGTGGTCTTTACTGCTCTTCTCTCTGTCAGCTCCTGAACACTCAGAGTCCTTCCTCTCTCCTTCTCCATCAGAGTCCCTGATCAGCCAGGCTTCCTGACAGGGCCCCCCTGGAATAGTACACCCAAGTCAATGGTTACCTTTTCTCTGCTCTCCTTCCAGAGTTTTTCTGGGCCATTGAAGTAGGGACCAGAGCCTTCACAGGAGCTACCCCTCCCCCCCAAGCATGGCCTTGATGCCCCCAGGGTTGCTGCTCCTGCCCATTTAGCTCACTTTATGCAGCCTCCTGCCTCTGCCAGGGCTGGGCTCCTCCCTGATCCTCCAAGCTCACCACCTGTCCTCCTCACTGTCCCTAAAAAAACTCACTGTTCTTCTTGGAAGCCCTTTCTGGCCTTGCTCATCCCAGGTGAGGCCCCTGTGTATGTGTCCTGCACACCATGTATTTGCTTGTGTGTATGGGGATGTGTCTGATGTTTGTCCCCAAATAGTGCCACTTGTTCACTGTGGGTGCCCACATCCAGTGCCAAGGGTCAGGTAGTCAACCCATGCCTGTGTTGGGAACACTCTGGGACCATTTGGGTGACTGAGTGGACAACCTGTGGCCCTGTCTCCACCCATCTTCAGTGACCATGAGGATCTGGGAACAATGCCAGCACACAGGGGGTGGAATATCTGCCAAGGGAGATAGGTGGCAAAGGCTGTAGGTGGCAGCATTCTTCTCTCTCCTTTCTCTCTGCCCTATGCCTCCCTCCAACTCTCTTGAAGCTCCTGGAGGGTGAGAAGGACCAGCTCACCCTCAATTTTCCCCTCAATTTCTTGAGGGGAAATTGTTGTGGTATAGATGGGGAGTACCTCCTGGTTTCTTGCTCTCCTTAACAGTAGGACAGGTGTGACAAGCAAACGGAAGACCTCAGAATCTACCAACAGGAAGGCACGTCTCCCATTTTTGGCCCCACTCCCCATGTTGCACCCAGCCTTTCTCTGCCTCAGGGATGAGATCTGAAAGGCAGCTGCCTCTGAAACCTAGCGATCTCTCTTCATTAGCTTAAAAAAGCAAGGAGTCCTCTCCTGAGTGCTGGAGTAAGAAGTCCCTGAAGACTTGTAGTTACCTTGGAGACATGAGAAAGCTGAATCTCTCAGTTCCATGGTTTCACTGCCAGCACCTCCTTTGTTTAAACAGGAAGGAGAAATAGTTTCTGAGTTGGTGGAGACTGCCCATGTGTGGTAGCCCGGGTCACCATTCACAATCCCTGGTCAGGAGAGGCGTGGCCACTCAGGGCAAGATCAGCAGGTGATCTGCAGTCGAACTCATCAGCTGAAGAAGGTCAGGACTAGTGAGCAAGTCCATGAGAAAGTCCTCCTAACTCCTCAGCTACAAAGGGAGGTAAAGCCAGCCATTGAGCAATGAACAGAAACTTAAACGAAGGACAGGAATATAAAACAGGTCATGTTAGGGTGAGGGTTATAGCACAAGGGGGGAGGATAAATGAAAGGGTAAAGGAAGGTGGTGAATATGGTTGAGCTACTTTCTATACATGTATGACTATGGAACATTGAAACCTGTCAAAGTCATTTTAAGGAGGGGAGTAGGGGTAAGAGGGAGAATAATGAAGGGGATGAACCAAACTGGGGCATAATATATCTATATACAGAAATGGCATAATGAAGTTCCTTGTATAGCTATCATATACTAATGTTTTTAAGAAAATAAAAAGCAAAGAAAGGCACTAGCATGTGTCGAGATAATTAAATTCTGGGGGTCTGTGTTAATATCATCTAAGTTTTAATTACACTATCAGTAAAATGGGGCTAATGAGAGATGTCCTTTTGACTTAACAGTTCTTGTAAGGAATATGTAAATAATAGGTGGGAATTATTGTGGACTTTTATTAAGAAACTCTGTATTATTTAAGTTTTCAATGTTGTGCTATAATCCTGACAACTTCTAGAAATTACAGCCATCCTTCAGTATCTGCAGGAGATTGGTTCCAGAACCCCAGTGACACCACCCTATGTGTATGCTCAATTCACTTTACAAAATGGCAAAGCATTTGCATGTAACCTGTGCACATCCTCCTATATAATTCAAATCATCTTAGATTACTTTACCTAAAACAATGCAAATGCTACAAGAATATTTATTATACTGTATTATTTAGAGAACAACATGAAAAAAGTCTGTAAATAATCAGTATAGACACAATGAAAAAATTTTTTTGATCTGTGGCTGTTTGAATCTATACACATGGCACCCATGAATATAGAAGACCAACTGTATAATGTCTTACTTCATATTTGTAGGTGTGCTTTGATGCAATCACAAAAAGTAAATGTGTATATGATAAAAATTTTTTTTAAAGGTTCAAGGTATCAGCCTGCCCCTTTCAGGCACCTTCCAGGTGACTCGATTCTCCCATTGTTGTGATCTGTGCCCACCTGAGGACACACATCTGGTGACACATTCATCTTCCCCATTCAGAGCCATGTATACCCCAGACCTCCACTTGTCTTCTGCCAAGGTGCCCAACACCAGTGTCTGTCAGAGCCCAGGAGGGAGAAGATGCTAGGTCCATTGTGGGAGATGGACCCTGCTCTCCCCATCTTAGACCCTCCAGTATCCTCTCTATATTGATTTTCTGGGGCTGCCACACAGGACTATAAATTAGGTGGCTCAAAGTAACAGACTGTTTCTCTCTCAGAGCTCTGAAGGCTGGAAGTCCAAGATCAAGTTGTCTGCAGGGTTGCTTCTTCTCAGAGGCTGAGGGGAAAATCCACTCTGTCCCTTCTCCTGACTTCTGGTGGCTGCTGGCAATCCTTGGAGTTCCTTGGATTATAGATACACCACTCCAGTCTCTGCCTCCATCATCACCTAGCCTTTCTTCCCCTGTGTGTGTCTCTGTTCTCCTTTTCTGTCCCATATAAGGACACTCTTCATTGGATTTCAGGCCCAATCTAACCAAAGATAATCTCTACTCAAGGTCCTTACCTAATATGTCTACAAGATCCTTATACCAAATAAGGTCACATTTACAGGTGCCAAGGGCTAGGACTTGGACTTATCTTTTGAGGGGGACACTATGCCTCCTAATAGCCCTGAACAGGAGGATAGAGCAGGAGAGACAAACTGGATGGTAAGGGGACTTGGATACAACATTGGCCTTCATGAATCTTAAGGATTCTCCATGGAGGAATGTCCTTGGCAAGACCATCACGCCAACCAGATTTTTCCTTCCCCTCTTCACCCCAGAAGTTTGGCACGTGCCTGACACTTAGAAGGAGTCACCGCATCAAAGCACACCATTCCTCAAGTCACATCCTGCATAAAGAACACTTGAAGCCTTGAATACAGCAGGGGATTGAGTGCTGTGCTCTGTAAACCCTGGTAATCTTCCATCCTGCCATTGTCACTGACTGTGATCTCTTATGAGGTTAATCTTCAGTTCCTGGGAACATATTTTTAAGTAAGCTCATGTTTTATACTAGCAAGATTTTGTCTGAATTTTATTATCAGATACAAGAATAATTAATTTGAGTTCTAAAAATAAAAGCCGAGCTTCCCAACATGGCTTTCACCCATACCAATGGTTTATGATACTCAGAAGGAACTCTTGAAAGCTGCCTTGAGGATGAGTGTTTTAGGCCACCAGGCTCTCTCCAGTGGGTTAAAATAACATTATTAACACCCCAGGCAAGTAAAGCCTGAGATTCTGGGAGGTCAGAGGGGCTGAGAGAGAACACATGTTGCCTGACTCTGTTTCTCCTTCCCTCATTTGGAATCTCCCCTAGCCTCACTCCTGTCTCCTCTTGTTTGTTTCCAGGACCCCTCCTCGGCTGGACCCATCCCCATAGCCACTCCTCGAGCTGCTGCAGTTGCTGGAGAACAGAGCACATCTTCCAAAGTCCAGCTGCCCCTCAATGTGTGAGCTTCCCCTCATGTTTGTCAGGGCCCCATCCCTTCCATGCCCTATGCATGCTAGCACCTACATATGTGCTTTCTGTTGACTTTTTCAGGTGGTTACTAACTGGCCAGGGTATTTATGCATCTGATGATACTTCCCAATGGAAAGCATGACAAGTACAAGTTTAGCAGTTCTTTTAATATTGTTGTTCCTAGGACCATTATGATAAGTGGGGGAAATAAAAATATTTGACAATGCAGAAACCAGTCCATCAGAAAAGGAGCCAGCTCTAGCATGGAGCAAGCCTTAGAGACCCTGAGGTCTGGGGTGGCCCAGAGAGGGAAGGAGGTGGCTAGAGCAGTGGGCAGTCTTGGAAGACTGGAGCAGCAGCTCTTTGCCAACTGCTCAGAGGTAGTGAGTGTTCATCCACCATAAGCACTACCCCAGAGCAGATAGCTGTGTGCTGGTCCCAAATATAACCACGTGAATCACTGATAGGAAGTGAATGCTTATTTAGGAAATCTGCTTTGCTAAATTATAGCTTTTATGATATGTGCAGTTTAAAAATTCCCCATTTCAGTTGTGTTCCGAAGAATGAGACGGTCTTCTGCTCTTTCATTTGGCAATGAGTTTAGTCTCATGAGGGGATGTTTTAAGGTGGAGGCAATGAATGTGGCAAACATAAGAACAAGGACAGAAAGTTTCTTTTGTTGGGGTTGGTCAGAGGGGTTGTAGAATAGAGTATATTTTGGGAGGCGTGGGGAGCCTTTGGATATGGCAACATGTTGTGTTCAAAAGGTTTCCTACAAGTAACTTAACTATTCTGGGATACTCTAACCTCACTTGTTAGGCCAAGTTGAAAAGTTGGCCTTTGTCTTGAACAGAAAAGCTCAGAACATCCTCCCTTTACTTTCCAACCCTACCATGATTAGCCAACCAGATTAATGAAAGAAATTTGAAATTTATACAGTTTTCAACTAGCTTCTCAAAGGGTACATAGATTAGTAACTACATTCCAAATGTCTTTAGGTTAAAATTCAAGTTTTCAACAACACTGGTGGGTTCAGTCTCTGAGGTCAACTACCCATGGGTGGGAAATACTTGGAAAATAACCCAGAAAGTCCCCAAAAGCAAAACTTTAATTTGTCAGGCACCCAGTACTATGCTGAATTCACATGCACAAAGTGACATTGTGTTTTACATTGTAAGTCAACTAGAGATGATGTAAAATATGCAGGAGGATGTACATAGGTTACATGCAAATATTGTACCATTCTAAATAAAGGACCTTAGTATTTATGGGTTCTGGTAACTTGGAGGTCTTGGAACCATTATCCCTCTCTTAGCAAGGGACAGCTGTTCTGTCTTCTGACCATGCTCCCAGATGATCGGCTGTGGCTTCATTCTAAGCCAGGGGCCATGGGTGCATGGGGAGGGCAGGATGACGGGCTGGCTCCTTAGAAGAACTAGATGAAGGATGCCATTTCCAAGGAAGGAGACCTGTGCCCGCACGGAGAGGAATGGCATGGATCAGGATGACAAGACCATGTTCGTTTTGGGGTTCCCAAAACTAGCTGAATGCCTATACACAGGCTCTCAACAATTGCCTACTTGTCCCTGAGAGCCAAACGTGTCTTCTTCTTGAGTGTGGATGGCTCCAGCTCTTACTTGTAAGGGCAGCCACCAGAGAAATCTTCTCTGTATCTAAGAACAAAGAGTTGTGAATATTCTGTGGAGGCCTCAACTGTGGACACACCTGCATGTTCTGGAGGACTTTGGCTCAGAGCATTGAGAGACCTCTTCTTCCCCAGAGACTTATGTGTCAGGTGATATCCTCAGGGTAACATTGTTACAATCTAAGCAGCAGATGAGTTGTGGGTGTGGCCTTGTGAGTGGCTATGGCAGGCTCAGTGTGTATTCCTACTGAGTAGCAGGCATGTGCTTAGAAATTACACACATGTAGCAATATGAGTGGTCCACTTTGAAAAAATGATAGTTGAGATCACATTTTTATGTTACTAGGGAACAAATGATCAGATTGACCACATCAGTTTATTAAGGAGGGTACCAGTCTGACCCGTCACTCATCCTAGTAGTCCCATAGATGCAATGGCAGTTACCTGAAACAGTAGTACAATTGTTTTTTACCTAACTACTCTTCCCAAAACAGTATCCATGAGATAGGTTTAAAAGTCTGAACTGGGACAGGAGATGAGCTGTCTTTACAAAAAAACTGCAGCAACTGTGCAAGGGTAGTAACCTTGGGACTGTAGGTGAGGGCCAACCTAAGGCTAGCATGGAGGTCAGTGATGAAATACCTCCTGTGGACTCTCATCCATCATCCTCGTGTGCCTTGAAACCTGAGTATGGGTGATGACAAAGCCTGATCTCCTATATCAGGCAGGGTGGTGGCAGGTTGTTGCCCTCCACTCCTTTATCTAACACATTAAAGGTTTTCATGGCACTGACTGTCCAAAGGGCTCAGTGCCCTGACATACAGAAAGGGTCTCAGCTCATGCACTTAGTGCATGGAGTACTGCTCCTCTAAAGAGACAAAGACCTGCCCTATTCTCTCGCTAATTACTCCTGGTATGTTGGGAAATCTCTCTGCCTCTGGCTTGGGTGCCTTCTGTATGACCAACCCACTGTGATTGCAGGGGTCATGTGAGTGTCCGATGCTGGAGACTATTCTCAGGTCAGAGTCAAGTTGTCTCAAGGTCTGAATGTAGTAACATGATGTGGCAGGGTTGGATTCTTGCCTTCACTCTTCCATGAAGAGAGTCTGTGGCCAGGTGTGAAAGACCAAAGAGGGAGAAAGAGAGTGGAGGGAGATCCACATGACTGAGCAACATGGCTGGGGACAAAGAGGAAACTGGCAGAAAGCCACTGAGACATCCCACACAGCATCCTAGCAGTGTAAGAAGTCTGTGAGCAATGCTAGCCACTAAGGTATGGAGGGGGAGGAACAGCCAAGTCTCAGACCAATAAATCAGAGTTGACATGTGACTCACCTAAGGCTAGAGGACGGGAAACATCTGCTTTCAGCACTGGCTGGTATGCCTGTGTACTGAGGACAGCACTCAGCTCTCAGAGCCTTGGGCCTGAGACCAAATGCCAACTTGCAGTGGGAAAAGGGAACTTCCACAGTCACAGGGGTGTAGATCATCACCTGTTGGGAAAGGCACACACCTCTTACTGCAGATGGTCCCCCAGATTCCACCTGGAGAATTCAAACCAGATGGAGGTGGGGAAAAGAAAAAGGGGTTGACCTGCATACCAGAGGAAAGAAGTCCAAGGAAATAGCAGCCAGCAGTACTGAGTGGAGACCAGGTCCTTGAATCCACTGGTCCACATTAGTCAAATGAGATGTGCTCTGTGTAGTTGCAGGGAGCACCTTTCAGGCTAGTCCTCCTCATGACCCCCCTGCCATCTGTCCTGATGGCCAAAAGCTACCAAAGCATCCTAAGGACAATGTGGGCTCCACAATCTGGGATGCTAGGAAACGACTGATGACCAAGCCGTATCCAACTCAGGAAGGGGCACTTTCACCACAAACTCATCAAACAAGCCAGCTGTGCACTGGGTGGAATGGCTAGTGTGAGTTCAGTACAACAGGGCCCAGTGAAATGAGTCTGTGCTAAGGCTGGTGGTCCAGGTTTGCTGCAGCGAGGTCATAGACACTGTCCCCTAGAAGTGTCTCAGAGGCACCCCAGGCTGAAGGTCAGCAGGAGAGGATGTCACCGGCCCTCAGGGTCCTGGGATGGTGCATTAAGCAAAAGAATGCACCTGAGAAACCGAGCAAGTGGTGCCCCAAGCAGGAAGGGAAGGGGTAGAGAAGCCAGATTGAGAGCAGAGAATTACTCAGAGAGAAACCTCTAAATGGAGCTCAGAGCCTGGAAGACAGAAGCTACAGACATCTGGAGCTGCCCCATGGCTGATACAGAAAGGAAGGGGATGTTCTCGAGCCCCAGAGGCCCAGGATGTGACAACAAGGTGTCCCAGCTTTGTCTGAATCAGATTTCCTGAAGGCTGAGAACAAAAGTTTGGGGAGTGTGCTCAGGACACCTCCATCAGGAATGGAGGCCCTGAGCAGTGGCTGACTTTGAAGGCTCTGCAGCTGATAACCCTTCAGTTTCCCCAACTGGAGTGAATGAGTGCTGGCCTCAGACTGCCCTTTGGTGGAGCACAGGCTTGGGTGAGCCTGGACCCTGAGACAAATGACAATGAGAAACTGTACCCTTAAGAGAGGCCTGGGCTAGGTGTCGCTGAACTCAATCTAAAGCTTCCCCTCAGAACACAATGGAAATACCTGAGGCTGTTGAAACAGATTACTGGATCTTACACTAGAAGCTCTGGGAGGCCCCAAAATATGTATGTATAGTACATTCCAGGTAACGCTAATGCTGCTGGTTCACGACCACCTCTAGAAGTCTCTGTGCTCTAGCCCCACAGGCAAGTATAACAGGTGCTTAGTTTGAGAGGGACACCAATTTCCAAGCTGACCTCACAGCCATGCAGCTCCAGATCTTTGCCATGGGCTCCACTCTGGGAGGACTGAGTGACTTTTGCTAGCTAGGCCAAGTCAGACTACAAAGTCCACCTTTGGAGAAAGAATGAATGGTAGTTATGCTCATGAGGCCAGCCACTTCTTGTCACTTCACAGCACCTGAACCTGCTTCAGTCTTTCCAGGACTTACCTGGCCTTCATGTGTAGACCCTGACCCAGCAAGCACTCTTGCTGTCACCCTGAGTAGTGGGTGTTCCTGGGAAGGCTCTGTGCATGGCTCTGTCCACCACCTACTGGCCCTGCGACCATCTGGTAACCATCCTTTGAATGGAACAGTCAATGAGAGGGCACACACCTCAAACTGCTGTGGGTGGCCCTGCCAAGGGAAAGAAGCAGGGCTTCTTGCAAGAGGAATGGGGGGAGAACCTTTGACTTATTTTAGAAGAATTGTGAGCAACCACTATCTAGAAGAAAAAGATATGAAATGAGCAAAGGTACCAAAATACTCTGAAT